CATTCAGTAGGGGCAGTGTGAACTATCTACAAGATGCATTGCAGAAATTCATCAAAGATCCTTAGACAGCACCTTCCAAACCCATGACCAGTTCCATCTAGAAGGACAAAGGAAGCAGACATATGGGAACACCACTACATGCAATTTCCACTTCAAGCTACTCACCATCCTGACTTGGAAATGCATTGTCATTCCTTCCCTATTGTTGAGTCAAAATCCTGGAATTCTCCCCCTAATGACATTGTGGGTCTACCCACAGCACATAAACTGCAGCGATTCAAAAGGTAGCTCACCACCACTTTCTCGAGGGCGACTAGGGATGGGTAATAAATGCTGGCCCAGCCAGCAGCACTCATGTCCCACAAATGAATAAAAACAAAGTACTGCGAAGATTGTGAGAATGTGTTTGGATCAAGCTGCAACTAAAGTGTTCCACAGAAAATTACATAAATTTCAGCAGCAGTGCATGAAAGATTAAATCAATTTAGATCATAAACACACAACAAATCAATATCCAGTCCATAACCTTTCACTGATATTTTAGGAAACTGAACATTTCTAAAAACGACAAATCATTGGTTTAATTGCTGTACACTACTTTTCTTCCTAAATTATTTAAATATTTCTTTAAAAAATTTAAAATGTACAAACTAGTATTTGTGCACCTAAGAAAGCAAGCTCAATTTGGAGAGTTTTCTTGAGCAGGCACAAATAGTGGAAACTCACCATCCACAGTCTATTGATCTGGGTAGAGGTCAATCTAATGACCTGGACCAAGTTCAAGGGAAGTTGATTTTTAAACCAACATCCGCTATTTGTCATCCATAAGACCAACGCAAACCGAATCCAAAAGCAAAATACTGCAGACTCTGAAAATCTGAAAGAAACACAGAAGATAGTCATATTACTCAGCAGGTCTGGCAGCGTCTGTGGGGAGAGAAACAGTTAAGGTTCCAGGTTGTGACTTTTCATCAGAAATGTTTACCCTGTATCTTAAAGGCAATCAGTTCAGTTCATCTACAGGGAGCAATTGGTTGTAGGGGATTTTACTTTTGTGCGCGTGAAATATACAGCAAAACTCGTGTCTTTTGTGAACCTGAAGACATATAAATCACAAAATTGCCTTTGGAGCCATGAGATTTCTTCAGTCAATGTTGAGAATTCGTCCTTTTCAAACTCAGCTTCCTTGAACTGTAAATTACTGTTTTATCTCTTCTATCAAACTGTCAGCCAGTAATACTCAAACAGCTGATATGTTGAAACAACGTTAGAGCAGAAAGGTTACACTATACTTTGCATAAAAAGAATATTTGAGAGAGCTTTAAGTTTTTTTAACTTCGGCTTCTTTTATCCGTTACGAATACTGACAGAAATTATATCACATTTCACACTACTTAAATCACAGTTGTATCAACCATTCTATGGCATATCACATTTCATTCCAATCCATCTACATTTCCACTCATTTGTCCACTCATCTATCCATCCCAGATCAAGATGCTTGATAAATTTTACATGGTGTTTCTTACACTCCAATTAGTTTACCTAAGCTCAAAGTTATTGTGTCACTCAGTAATTTTTATAACTAAATACAGTTTCCAACGATATTTTTAACACGCCATTTTGTAATGTCACTGTACTTTTTTTCTTTTTGGATTACTTGCAGTAGTGTCCAGGGAATTATCTTTTAATTCCTGGAAACTCCAGTGCAATCCTGTCAACCTATCTGTGATGAAAATACAAGTTTACACTCCTAGATTAGTTTGACATTGTGAAGTGGTTACCTATGGGTTCTCTCTCTTTCTGATCTTAAGTACCATGGTTTTCTTGTCAAGTTATCCAGTCTAGCTTCTTGCTGAGAATTTTTTGCCAGGTATTGGACTACAGACTCTCGCAAGTATTATAAAATATGCAGCGGCACCTGTTAAAGATCTCCATTTCCATGGGACAGACTGTCGTTAAGTTTTAAGTTTCAGAAATGGGTTGGAGGTTACACTTTTTTCCCCCACTGTTTATATTTCTCTGACAATGCTCATAGCAACCAATCTATCTGCAGATAACACAAACCGCACTACTCGTCATTATCTTCCCAAATTGACTTAAGGTAACTTTTGCAATAACAAAATTAACTTGCTGGTGCTCTTGTTTGATGTGCAAACAGTCAGAATATGGATGCATCCTATTACCTGTAAAAGGGCACTGATTGGGTCTGACATGTTGTGCTACAAAATTAGTCTGTTCTGCTCCCCATTGTCACTTAGGAAACAAAAGCAACAAGGGTGGATTTCTGCTCGGATATCCACCTCCAAAAAGTAAGAGCCTGAATTTGCTCCGTTTTGGTTGGGGCTTCAAATCTTTTGACTTTGAATCGCAGGCTGCAAATCTTCTCAGGGCTTTTCCTACTCCAACATCAACTCTAGTAGAAGTATTTGTCCATGTTTGGGAGTTTGTGCCAATGTTAGGGCAACAAAGTGAGTGATGCTTCAATAAAATTCATAGCCTAAAACTCAACAGAATGCGCTACCTCATCTCAGGCAATAGAAATGCATTTACAGTATAAAACCTCTCTGTCTTACTAGTGGGGAAATTCCCATCTCTTGTTTGGAATAACTTTAGTATTTGCTCCTTTTCAAGTCCCATCTGCTCCAGAGATGTGTCAAGACATTGTCTCAACAGGTTGATTAAAAGAGCTATAACCACAGAATGATGCAAAGGTTCATTCAAGGATATGTTCTTGATATTGGAGCAGTTCATTGTGTCTTTAGAACTTTTTCTGGCTGTATACGGAACAAGGTAAATGAGCTTGTGGCGCAGATCGAAACTGGCAGGTATGACGTGGTAGGCATCACGGAGATGTGGCTGCAAGGGGATCAGGATTGGGAATTGAATATCCAAGGGTATACATCCTATCGAAAAAATAGGCAGGTGGGCCGAGGGAGTGGGGTTGCCTTATTAGTGAGAAATGAAATTAAATCAATAGGGGAAACAAAGTAGGGTCAGATGGTGTAGAATCTGTGTGGGCAGAATTGAGGAACCGCAAAGGTAAAAAAACCATAGTCGGGGTTGTGTACTGCTGGTATACTGATAAAACCTTTAGTTATCACAGGGCAGTGACTTGAAAGAAATGCTGGGAGTTGCATATTAATCCTTTCTAACTGATTAAAGATTTAACAGCCATCTTAGGTTTGTTAGATACATTCGCATCAGTTCTATGACCCTTTGATCTTTTACTTATAAATTCTGTGTCTGATGCCACCTGTCTCACTAGCACCTGTTGGACTATAGCCTGGTGTTCTGTGATTTTTGAGCCTACAGACTTTAGAAAGAATTACATTGTACGTACGCACAATGTACAACATAGTAAAGGGTTGTAGACCTGTCAGATCCATGACAGGACACTCCACTCACTCTGTGTCATCGTACAGTATCAACATTCCTACTTCGTAGGATTTTTTATCTTAGTCTCTCACATGTGACTGTGTTTGTGCTTTCTTGTACCTTGGAGTTTATTCTGAAATTCCAGTTGAGCAGACTGTGTGTAAGCTCACTTATCAAGAATGGAGGTGATAAATTGACAGTGTGGTTTGCAACCTCATCATGGAGAGAAATAGGAAGAGGAGTAGACCATTCAGCCCCTCGGGTCTTTTCCACCATTCAAAGCAATCATGGCTGATTTGTGGCCTAGATCCATATACCTGCCTTTGACCTATATCCCCTAATACCTTTTGCTTAACAAAAATGTATGTATCTCAGATTTAAGGTGAGCTTGTATATCCCAGCATGGATGGACAATGTGGCTTCTATCCCTTAGTATGCATGAATGAACACCAGTTCTGTATCACACAGATACTGTACCCCAGTACGGACACGATAGAAAATAAAAACCGCAAGATCTGCAGATGCTGTAAATCAGAAACACAAACAGAAGTTGTTGGAAAAGCTCAGCGCGTCTGGCAGCATCTATGAAGAGACATCAGCGTTAACATTTTGGGATTACGGTCAGCACGGACTGGTTGGACCGAAGCGTCTGTTTCCGTGCTGTGTGACTGTATGACTGCAAAAGGTAGCTCACTGGTTATAAAATCTTTGGGACATTCTGAGGATGTGAAAGGTGTACTTTTTTTTTAAAAAGAAGGGATAAAAGAGAAAGCAAATAAAATAGCGTGGTAGGGAAAGCTTTTATGGGAAATCTACAATGTTTGAGAATAATGCTTGGAAGTCAGAGGTCTTTTTGCAGTGCAATTAAATCGGCACACTCGTTTGCCAAGTTTATTGCAAGGAAGTTCTAAGGGGTGGTAGCGATAGTGTTATTTTCTGTTACAGCATCAGGCACAGAATGCTGGAGAAAGTCAGCAGGTCTGGCAGTATTTATGGAGAGAGAAAAACAGTTAATGTTTCGAATTAGTTCAGAAAAAGACATACTGGACTCGAAACGTTAACTCCCCTTCTCTCTCCAAATAAGATTCGCTTCGTTTCTCCAGCATTCTGTTTATTCCGGATTTTTAGCATCCGCAGTAATTTTACTTCTAATCTGTTACTTTGTAAATAAAACATTTGGCTCCATTTCTGGAGTTACAGCTGATATTTGGAACTCCTTTTCAACATCCCAGCTTTAAAGCAGTGCAGCAGTGCGAGTTATTGAAGTTAAACCGATTGAAAGTAAATGTTGTGAGAGCCGCTTCTTACGTGTGACATTTGGGGGGAAAAGGATATTATCCAGAGGAAACATGTAGCAGGTTTTGAACAGCTTCATTCTGATGGATTGCCTGAATGAAATATTCAGCAGCTAAGATTGGCAGGTGGGTTTCTGAAGCGGGTTTGGATGCTTTTCTGGTTGGGAATTGGATAAGAAGCGGTCTGGATAGTTTCAGGTATAATCCCCACATCCTCCCTCTCTCTCCGTCCCACTTTGTCTTCGTGTTATGCTGAAAGTCTGACAGAGTGTGGCGTGCTGTGCAAGCTCCGCACAGTTTTTAAACAAACACACAGCCAGAGAGAGAGAGAGAGAGGTACAAATATAATAGGCAGCCACAGAGGGCAAGAGATAAAGACCGCGAGATATTCCCAACATCAAGTCTTCCAGCAATCCCTCGCATCTGTTTCTAATGGACTTTGGACGTAAAACTCTGTTATAGGTGGGAGCTGAGGGAGCATCGCCCTCGCTCAGTCCACCCTCCGCTTCCAGGAGACTGCCTGCCGTTTTCAAAACACTCCCGACCGGAGCAACAACATGGAATTAGGCACTTTCTTCCTTCTGTACTTGCCTTCAATACTTGGCAAGCTGGAATCTGCGGAGCTGACAGGTAAGAAGCAGATTCTCCTCTTCCCCCTTTATCTATTTATGTCATTCTCCTCCCAGCCTTACCAATTGCAAACTGTGAATTGCTGGGTATTTTTTTTAAAAATTCTATCTCCCTCCTGAAATATCCAGGGCAACATTTCTAGAGATGCTGCTTCAGGGAACAGAGCAAGCTTCCGGGTTTAGGGTGTTTTTCTTTTCTCTTTCTCATTGCAAACACGCTCTGCAGTACAATTCATCTCAAATCTTATTACCAAGCTGTCTCGTTAATATCTTGGTGTCCTGTTTTCATCCCTAGATTCAGCACTGAAGCGATGGCCTGCTTATATTATTATCAGTCCGGTCTCACGCACACACACACTGAAAAGTTGCTGTAAATGTTAAGGGGAACACTCTGCGTGCAAAGCAATTTGTAGCAAAACTGTGAAAGATGCCTTTTATTTTGTTGTGGAAGCGCAAGACACTGTTTATTGGAACAGCCGGTGTGGTTTGCAAAGCGATAGAGGGCTGGGAAGATATTTATCTGTTTGTGTGGGTTTTGGGGGTGCTGGGAGGTGAATACACGAACAATATTGAAATAAATGGTCTTAAAGCTGCCACGACCCGCAGCTGGGAAACTTGGCCATTTGTGTGAACGACGTGAGAGAGATGAGACAAGCGAGGATGATGCCTTAAAAATTCTGATCAGGCAGATAACCGTTCTGAATTGTGTCTGACAGCGCTCCTTTCCTAACGTCGCTCAAAAAAACCCCCATCTGTATCTCCTTCTCGCACCCATCTCTCGCCGTGCTATAGCTCCCTAGGATAGTTCTCTCAGCTATATCCTGTGAAAATGCAGGCTAATTAGCACTGCACACACGAGGCAGCACAGCCTTGCCAAATCGGAGGAAGTGTGCTCATTAGGAAGTGAGGGAGCAGCAATGAGGAGGATTCAGACGAACCAGTGGCTTGCATCCTCATTTCATCCTCTGTTGCTTGGGTGTCCAACCAAGTTTTGTGTAAACAAAAGAAAACACAGAAATTACTGGAGAAACTCAGCAGGTCTAGCAGCATCTGAGGACAGAAACAGAGTCTCAGGTTCAGTAACCCTCCTTCTGAGCTCGTTTGTTTTTATTAACCCAGAACAGTGGCCAGCATACATCTCAAACTATCAACAATTTCTTTGGGAGCCCAGATTGATTTCATTCTTCATCAGCCAGAGAAAGCACTTCTCTCCCTCTCAGAATATTCTAGAGCATTTTGCAGCCAAGGAGGCATCTTTTTTGAAGAAAAACTAAAATGCAGCAGATGCTGTAAATCCGAAATGAAAACTAAAACTGCCAGAGATATTCAGGCAGTGTCTATGAGAAAAGAAAGTGTTAACATCTGAGGTTAGTGATTTCTTTCATTTAGTGGTAAAGCTGTGATATACCCAGCTGGACTCATCTGTTCCATTTTTTTGGCACTGACCATACAGCACAGAAACAGATCCTTCCGTCCAACCAGTCCATGCCAACCATAATCCCAAACTAAACTAGTCCCACCTGCCTGCACTTGGACCATGTCCCTTCAAACATTTCTTATTCATGTACTTATCTAAATGTCTTTTAAATGTTGTAACTGTACCCAAATCCATCACTTCATCTGATAGTTCAATTCGACACATGAACCACTCTCGTAAACAAAGTTGCCCCTCATGTCCTTTTTAAACCTTTCTCCTCTCACCTTAAAAATATGCCCCCAGTCTTGAAATCGCCCACCCTAGGGAAAAGAAACCTGCCATTCACCTTATCTATGCCCCTCATGATTTTATAAATCTCTATAACGTCCCCTCTCAAACTCCTATGCTCCAGTGAAAGTCCCAGCTTATCCAGGCTCTCCCCATAACTCAAATCCTCCAGTCCCAGCAACATCCTGGTAACTCTATTGTGAACCCTCTCCAGCTTAATAATATCCTCTTACAGCAGGGCGACCAGAATTGAAAGCAGAGAGTTGTATTTTTAGTGCTTGGTTAAGGGATAAATATGGCACAAGAGATGTCCTTTGTTTTAAAACACTGCCAGCAGATTTTTCACATCTAACTGAGAAGGCAGATGGAGCTGTGGCCTCATGTCTCATTCAAAAGATGACACCTTGACACTGACCCAGTGCTGCCTTGGATTATCATTCTGGGGTTATGGGCTCATTTTGCTGGAGTGAGAATTGAACCCACAAAAGCCCAAGGCAGAATAAAGTATAGGATGGAAACCAGCAAAAAAATGTCTGCAGGGCTTTGGGGGAAGAGTGTGTCAGTGTGAGAAAACGCCGCTCACAATGTAATCTCCTCTACACTGGGCGGGATGGGGGGAGGTGGGCTGGTGGTAGTGGGAAGGGTGGGTGGGTGGGGGGGGGGAACATAGACTGGGTGACCACTTTGCAGACCACTGATGTTCTATCCATAAAAATGACCCTGAGCTTCCTGCTGCCTGCCATTTTAACGTACCACCGTGTTCCCTGACCGACATCTCTGCCTTGGGCTTTCTCCAGTGAAGCTCAGCGCAAGCTGGAAGAACAGCAGCTCATTTTCTGCTGGGGGACTCTACAGCTTTCAGGACTAAGTATCAAGTTCAATTAATTTAGGGCATGAGCACTTTCTTCCATCTCCTTACCCCAAACCCCACACACCAGGCCTTGTCATCACATGGGCTGTTACCACACACAACCCGTGTCAGACACTACTAGTCCCCATTAGCAGCTACTTATTCTCCCAGGCTGACCTTTAGCCATTCCTTTGTCTGTCTCTGGGCTCCATCTCCACCTATGGTTTACTTCTCAATTCCTCCCCATCTTCAGCATATATCAACCTTTTCCTAGCTACGATCAGTTCTAAAGAAGGGTCGCTGGATCTGAAACATTAATTCTGCTTTCTCTCTCCACAGATGCTGCCAGACCTGCTGAGTGTTCCCAGCAATTTCTGTTTTTGTTAGAAATGCTGATCTGTCTAAGGGTAAACCAGACCAGCTCTGGAGCTAATAGAGAGCTGATGATGCCCATTGGTACTTAAGCAGTGGACTCTGAGGGAATTTTCTGAGGACAGGGGTTCAAATCCCACCATGGCAGCTGTGATGTTTGAACTGATAGGGCTTTTGTGGTACAGTGGCAGTGTCCCTACCTTTGAGCCAACAGCCTCAAGTTTAAGTCACACCTGTTGCAGGGGTGTGTACTAACACCTCTGCACAGGTTGACTTGGAAAGTGGAAGGGGTCATGGTAACTGAGCCTCTCCCTTTTCCGTGGATACGTTTGTGCCCAGTGCCCTTGGAGAAGGAACATGCGGTGCCCACTGATATGCTCAATGTCTTTAGACAAAGCTGGGCACCAGACTGGGTGGTTTGCTTGACCTCCTTTCTCCAATTCCATCTCTCCCTACCTCTCCCTCACCTTTAATGTCTTTGCATTGCCCTTAACATGCTTTGCATACACATTTATAAATTGGGACATGGTTGAATTGCTGATGGTGGTTAACAGAAGCAAACTACCATGGGTGATTCAGTAGGATCTGGGCTCAAGTCACGTCTGCTCCAGCCACATGCCATAACACATTTAAACAGGTTGATTTAAAAACTACATAGCTGGGGTTCTTACACTGCTCCTGGTCAGATTCATAAGTTGTAGAGATCTACAGTACACTAGTGGCCAGTGTGTTAGCAGTTATCGGATAAATGGCTACTGAAGTGATTTAGTGGTGAGTCTTCCAAAATATAAAAAAAGCAACTGGGTTCTTCGGAGTGGGTCATGAAGTGAGTGTATTATTCCTCTCCCCTCCCTCACTCCATATGATTTTGATTTAATTGCAACCCCTCCTAACCTGTGCTTTCCCCTCCCCTTTTCCTGTTTTTGTAGTTCCTACACTACTGCTACTCGGTACAGCTTGTACTCTGTTTGTTAACTTGGCACGTTTGTAAAGTAAGAGAAAATTAGGTACTTTCCTTATTTGATTATTTTGGTGCTTTGTCAATGTTGTTGTGGGTTTATTTATATATTTTAAAAAGTGAAGCTGGGCTCTTCGGTGATTGGGTTATTTGATAAAAGACCTGGCTTCTTCTACCAGTAGCCTCAAAGCACTTAGTGGCATCAGGCACTGCAGGGCTGGGAATGCATCATTTCCCCCAATAATCATAAGACCATTAACTACAGGAGCAGAATGAGGCCATTCAGCCCATTGACTGATCTGCCAAATGATCATGGCTGATATGTTTCTCAACCCCATTCTCCTGCCTTCTCCCCATAACCCTTGATCCCCTTACTAATCAAAAACCTATCACTATTATATACACTCAGTGACTTGGCCTCCACAGCCCTCTACGGGAATCATTTCCACAGATTCACCCCCCTCTGGTTGAAGAAATTCCTCCCCATCTCGGTTTTAAAGGTCATCCCTTCCCACAGAGGCTGTGCCTTTGTGTCCTAGTCTCTCCTATGAGTGGAAGCATCCTCTCCATGCCCACTCTATCCAGGCCTCTCAGTATTCTGTAAGTTTCAATCAGATCCCACCCCCCTTCATCTTTCTAAACTCCATCAAGTTTGGACCCAGAGTCCTCAACTGCTTGTCATATGACAAGCTTTTCATCTCCACGAACATTGTTGTAAATCTCCCCAGACCCCCCTCTGACAACAGCAAATCCTTCCCTAGATATGGGGTCCAAAGTAACATCATCTTCATTTAGTTCACCCCATCCCCAAAAAACCACCTTGTTTCCTCCTTCCTTGATTTTCCTTGTTCTTGGCACACAGCCCCTGATGGACAGTATCTGTAATTTGTTAACTGGGAGAATTGGCGGTGGGTATATTTTACAAACAAAGGAGCTGGATTCTCTGAGTCTTTAACCATAGCTGCGTAGTTAAGTGTATCAGGTAATAAATTTGGCTGCCTGCACATATTAAAATCCTGGCTCCCCCCACCCATCCCCACAGTGTTTACCCACTATTTTGATATTTATTATTAATATACTGCTCTGGGTAAGCAGTGATTGTAATTTATTCACTGA